CAAGAAATGCTCTGGGGGTGATTGAGATGCCTGGATGGATTTACAAGAAATCCAACAAGTCTACCAGGATAATGTTATAGCTAATGAAGCACTGGTGTATGTACTTTTGACGCAGTTTATGGAGACGGGAAATGATGAAAAGGTAATACGGTCATACTGGTCTTTGGTAGAAAAAGACGAATTCGGAAAGCTAATCTGAGAGCATGGCATTCTAGAATAATGAGACGATCATAATACGTAGGAAAAGCTGAGACCCATGTAATCTAATTATAGGTAAGACATGGTCCTACAAAGGATTTACATGTATAAAGTAAAAGTGGAGAATTCAATCCCCAGTAGGTCCCAAGAAGGCATCACATGAGATTGAGTCTCTTGACAACTTTATAGCAGGTGACAGTAAAGTTAGATTTCCAGGTGAGATGCTTATCAAAGGAAACTCCAAGATATTTAATATAAATGTCAAAATGATCGAAATGGGCGTTGAAGTGGCGAGGATCACGACAAGGAATAAACTTCTTATGACGCGGACCAAACAACACAATCGTTCAGACTAAGACGCCAGAGTTTAGACCATTTAAGACAACGATCAACAACTTGTTGAAGAACCCTAATAAGACTGATCATAATGTATCAAGAAGCAAGTAAGTTAATGTACATCTGAAACACCAGCAGAGATGTGGAAGAGTCAAGATAATGATTCTTCATTGATATGACAACCTGACGTTCATGAAGAAAATAAGTTACAAATCGAAAGTAAGTGATAGATAATTTCACAGAACGAAGTTTATAGATCAATCCACGATGCTAAACAGCATCAACTGCTTTCTCAAAGGAAAAAAGCAGATGATTGGAATTATATGATTGGAGATAGCATCAAACAACCTAAGAAGCTGGTCCAGGGTAGACAGTCGAAGTCGAAATCCACCTTGTGTATTGGGTAGGTGGTTATTTTCCGAAATAAAACAGTGAAATCGAGAGATGGAAATACTCAAATGTCCAGCTGAAATACTGGTAAGACTAATAGGGCAATAATAATTTTGGTTTGTTTGGAAGTTCGCGAAAAGCTACAGATGCCTCTCTGCGCTAGCCATTCCTAATTTAGCAGTGAAAGGCTAGAGGAAAGGCAGCTAGTCATCAACACTCACCGCCAGCTCTTGGGCTACTCTTTTACCAACGAATAGTGGGATTGACCCTCACATTATAACATCCCCACGGAAGAAAGGCGAGCATGTTTGGTGGTACGGGGATTCGAACCCGCGACCCGCAGGTTGCGAGTCGAGCGCCCTAACCATCTGGCCATGTCAGGCCTAAGTGGTTTATTGGGAATTTTGGAGCGTTTCCATGAGTAAGCGTAAAATTTATTGCATAAAAATAACGTGGATAGTAATAATTATAATTTTTGAGCAGCATTCCGCAGACGAGTGTATGTACTGTGGTCCAATTCAAGAGTTGGATTTCGTTTGTGTTGTTGTTATGTGAAGAATGGTGAATACAAACACATTAATAGACGCAGTTAGAAAACTTGTGGCATGTGAAAAATTCAGCATGAGTTCTGGAAGGTGGGTGCTGACAAGATGAGAAATATACAGTGATATCAGTGTCAAAAGAGCGACAACCAGTTGTATGAAAACCTGTTTCAAAATAATTAGCAAAGACATTGGCCTTTTCCAAGAAGGAATAGAAACAACGTCGTCAACAAGAATGGGGTACCAAGGAGAGCCTAATTGGCCAGTTAGTAATTTAAATTGGGTCCATTTCCAAGAGGAATGAGAAATGTCACACAGTTTGGTGCCTGTTCTCTGCCATTGCAATCTCTTTACTGAAATAATAAAATTATGAGCAGTTCATTGAGAATACCTGTATTATTCAAGAACCACAGTATCCTTGGTACGTCGAAATTCTTGAATCAATAAATGATATCGATGTATCAGTGAAATAGCCTTACAATGTAATGGAGGTTTGTGTTGGAATATGTTCAGAACTGGTTAAAGTAATGGAAGATGAAAGAATGTGAGATAAACGATTAATATCCTATGAAGTGAAAAGGCTGGAATTAATGTGACATTCAAAAGAATACCAATCACCTTTACAAAACTTCAAGAATGTTTCAGTAGGCGATGATCATGTGTATGAGGTTCTTACAGTAGGTTGGAGATGGATGGGTAATGATCACTGTTAACGAGTGGGAGAACGTCAATCATACTCGTCCTGAATCAAATACCACACCAGAAGTAGTTCTTGCCTCTTCTAATAACGTATCTTTTCTCACGATATGAAAGATGCAGAAGGGAACCACCAATACATTTCAGAGTGGCATTAAACTGTTAAAGTTCAGATGAGGATCGGCTATGAATCTTGACATCAGTCATGATGATGATGATGATGTTGCCTTTTAAAGTCTGACCAATAAACGTGAAGAAGGTATGAAGCAAATCTTTTGTTTCTCTAACATATATGGTAACAGGTGTAATTATTTGGGATGAAAAATATAGAGTAATGATGAGGTATTCCGTGAAGCTGTAGTGTTGCCAGTTATGGATGAGAAGAGGTAATGAAGTCATACAACCAATCGTCACTACTCCTCTAGTTATTCTTCGTGGAATGTCACTCCTGTGTCAATTGTAAAGAGACAATAATTTAAACAATGTTGGCTTAAGAAAGGCCTAATTAAGTAAGTCAATAGATTTGTCAAACAGTACTTGTTCCAACAAAGGTCGATTGATTTTATGAGAACGGAAATTAACAAAAAAGGAAATTCAATAATCTGTTTCCAGATGAACTGACTACCCAGGCTCCAGCAATGACTGAAAGTGAAAATGAGTCTCACGTGTCTATAGGTGATACTGTGGATGGATAAGCTGACCTGGGAACAATTTGCCTTTACATTTGTAAGCATAAGTAGAATGGTCCAATTGACAGGTGTTACATACAGGAGTGACATTCAGCTTATGATGCAATTGAGTGTAATGTAGGACTCGACAATGTGAACATATTGGATTATTGGTATATTTAATTATAGAGCGAGAGTCATAGGTATGGCAGTGCTCACAACGCAACGTTTGAAGTGATGGAGTTCGTGATGCTTGAACTCAATGCTGTTGCCGAAATAAGGAGAAACCATAGCAAGAAAGGTGGTCTTCAAAATCTCTACTCCCGTATCATGTATATTTGGTCTCGTGGGTTCTGGATGCGCAAAGCTCTATGAACTGAAATACCATCCTCTGATAGTTCAATTACAGTCTCTTTTTGCAGTCAATAATTACACAAAAGAACGTAGACATACAACGTAGAGGAGATTTTTGTTTGTGCTGAGATAAACCGAGCTTTTGTATTACTGCGTTGTTGTTTAATTATGATATATTTTTTAATTCAGTGTTGGGTTCACGCCACTGGTTATACAACATAGAACATAGACATAGGACACCGAGTGGGTGGCTGTTTGGGCTGAGATACACCAAGCTTGCTTATTACTGCGTTGTGGCCAAGGCGAGCAATGGCCATCTTATTACAGAGTGTGTAAAAAGTTTAGTATTGGAAGTTTTGAAAATCATGTCGTTACAGGTTTTAAGTTCATACCTATAAGATGAGCTATACGTGCTGGGCTTTACTTCAACATTAAATATAAATTGCTTGTTTGTATCTTTTAGAATATTCGTGCAAAGCTACTCAAGCGTTATCTGAACTAGTGATTCATAATTTTTATCTGGTAGACTATAGCAAAGGCAGCTGAGCCACAGCACCCACCGCCAACTTTTGGGCTGCTTATATCTGATCCTATAGCTCCTATAGTGCACCTACGGTCCCAAAATACGGAGCATGCTATTGTCGCAACGAAGCGCGACAATAAGCCCTTGGATTCACAGTCCGAACAAGTTTATCTCTTCGCCATGCCTGATCTCAGTCACTTTCTAAAAGAAAGTCAACTCGGAAGCATTATCAACAACATTTAGCCGAGAGCAGGTGGCTGTTCTGAATGTTCTTGGCCATATTAACTGAGACCTGGATATTTTTAGGTTAACGTAAGAAGCTCAGAACGCTTTTCTATTGTCTACTGGAGTGAAATATATTTAAAAAGTGGTACAGAGAACGTTGTGAATGCTTATCAAAGGGCTTTATGGCTTCAGCTACGACATTAAGCTAAGCTGAAGAGATATCAGCTAAATTCAAAGTTGACTCCAACTTGTATTAGGAGATCATCTTAAAGCTGATATATTATGATGAAATCTTTCGTCTTTATGGCAGCATAACTAAGGTGTTAAAATGCACCAAGATAGAGCTTCATGCTGCACTTTTTTTCTGTGTTTATTTGATGTGAAGCACAAAGCTATACAATAGGCTATCTGCGCTATGCCTGCCACGGGTATCGAAACCCGGTTTTTAGTAACATAAGCCTTCAGACTTGCCGCTGAGCCAGTATGTTTTTTCAGCCATATTTTATGAAAATTGTAGTAGAGAAGTAAGTAAAATTGGGCTATTCCATTTTCTGACATTCCAATGAAATCATCACATGTAACACCAACGAATTTCTTGCAAAGAACACTAGAACGTCGACTTCCAAGCAGTGCAATAAGACCATAAAACCTGTATCAAGACACACTTGACATCCAAGTTTTTCTTGGAAGTCTGCTTGAATAGAAATTGCAAGAGAAACGGACTTTAAATAGAGTTTCTTCGTAAAAGTGTGTTAGAATAGAAAGAACTATACTTAGACTGTCAAAATAATTAAAATATATATCAGTAATTTGCGGTTGAGTGTTCTGATGATGTATAAACTATGATCCGGATGAATGAAAAAAGCTTCTTGCTCATGCACGTGCTTTATGTTTTAGCATTGTTCTTTTCGGTAAATACACTGATTAATGTATGATTTTAAACTAAAGTGCTTAATATTTCGAAGCTAAATCAATTGTTCATCGTATATTTACAGCTTGTACAGATGAAAGTTGTCATTAACTACGTATATGATGACGATACCTCGGATCACTTTGCTAGGTACTTACGGCTGAAGTTCAAGCTGATTGAAGCACTAACTTCGCCTTGTTTATTCTTTGCCGTGACTTGGTACGTCCCTGCATCTGTTTCAAGTACGTCATCCAGTTCGAGAGTGATTTTGTACCTGTATGGTCCAACCTCCTGAATTTTATTGATTGTCCGCAGGTCATTGTGAAGTTGTGCCGCACCAAGGAACCACTTGACCTCTGGCCTAGGGTTAGCTAACAGCTGACATTCAAATACCAGCTTGTTTCCGTCGTCCTCCTGACGTAAATCTGGTTTCTGAATGAATGTTGGGGCCACTTCCTCTTGAAGCCCCATTTCATATCCTGCATGAAGGAATCAGGGATCACAACTTGGTAGTACTCGGTCTGATGAATTGACAAAAGCAAGGTGGATGTTAAAAGTTGTGATTGGTTCTTTCTTTTGAAGTGTTAATTTATTGATGTTAAGAGATATCAAAAGCGACGGGAAAGTCAACCTGAAATATAGATAATTGTGCAGTTCTAATCAAATTTTAATCTTTCCATTTCAAGTTACATGTTTAATAATCTAAGAAAAAAATATAAATATTGAAAAAAACTGGAACAATGCAAAAATTATGTTACGTCTCCGTTTGTTAATTAACTTTCCGTAACTTCGTTCCGACGAAACTTTAGCGACACAAA